GCAGCCGTGTTTCCCTTTTAAGAGCACGAAGCTGGCAGGAAACACAGGCTTGGGAGGAAACACGGGTTCCACACACTTAAAGGGAGAGAGAGGGGTGGGTGTTGGTGTTGGGGCTTCCCCCGCCGGCCATCTGGCTGGCGGGCAGGTAGAACCCCCCCTAAAACGGGGGACCCCTGGCAAACCGGGGGGTTTGGCAACCCTACCGCTTGTTCATGTAGGACTCTGTTGTAGTTTTGTCTGTGGCTATTAGCACCCTTCTGCTGGAGACCAGGGCTCTAAAAGAAATCAAAGTATATCTGACTGCCTCGAGCTCCAGAAGATTAATATGAAAGCCCTGGTCAGCAGGGGGCCAATGCACACTGGCTCCATGGAAGCCACAGTGTGCCCCGAGCCCCAAAGGGATTCATCTGTAAATACCAGAACTTCACGGGAGGACGTTCCAAATGGGGAGCCTGTCAGCAGGTTCTCCCAAGATGAACAGCACCCTATAGACTGGACTGGCATTCTAGGAATAGACAATTTCCACAAGGAGAGGTCTGACTGCACATTGGCGGAGGAAACAGTTCTGAAGGGACCTAATGAATAATCAGGCAAAGGGGACCACTGCAGTAGTGGAGACTTAATAGACTGAAATCTAACCTCTGAGACAATGCTCATATGGAGGCTGCCTTATTCTGAGGAAGAAAAGCCTTGCTCCTGTTGGATTTGAGGAGGGCTGAATAGGATGGACTGAATAGGTTATAGGAAGGATTTATCCCAATTAATTTGGAGGCCTGGAGAAGTCAGGGTAGAGATGGCCAGGGGGACACAATCACCTAGTACATCAGAGGAGGGAGAGGTGAAAAGCTAATAGTCTAAATGGGGTAGACAGTCCCCTTAAGCATAGATGAGTGACTACTTTGGACCAATGCTCCCTCTAAGCTGTGGAGTCTTGTGAGATGTGAAAGCCTTCTCCCAAACCTGGTCCAGGTGAGCCTTTCAAGTGAACTGCTTGCAAACAGAGCAGGCAGAGACATTGTGGGCCTCACCCAGGCATAGGAGACAATGGTCATGGTCCTCTGACTGAGCCATTTTTAGGCTGCATTTGATGCACTTTTCTAAGAGAGTCATAGCCTGATAATAAAGTCCTCCTTCCAATCCCCCCTTTTTTGTAGGAATGAAGCCGAGTGAAGAAACAAAGGGAAGAAAAGTGAACGGAGGGAAAAATCACTAAAGAAAAACCTGTGAGAAGAGAGTGAAGATGTCTGATCTCCATGGCGGCAAAGAAAGGACTGAGAGAAGGAGTGCTTGCTGGGTGGGAAGGAGCTGGCCCATGAGGGGAGGGGTATGAGCACGCCAGACATTCTAGAGAATTAAGAAGAATTAAGAAGAGTGATCTCTGTGACAGGTGTGCACAAGCATGGTCCCACGTAGGGCTGCACAGAAACCACAATGATGAACTGCCAGTTCCACCCGGTTAAAATTTCATCATCATAGACAATGAATAGCAAGGATTAAAAATCTTGCACTCCACATTAACACATGCATACGTGTACTGTGTGTGTGTGTGGTAGTGCAGAAACATCAGGCCTCTAGGACATAAGCATACATATGAACCAAAAGACCATATAGCAATCCAACTTTTGATAAGTGTCCTTTCACACATTGTAGCTGGGAAACTGAACAGATGTGTGTGTCTGTATGTGGGGAGAGAAGGGAAATATTTATATGTGCGATCGACCACCAAGCTCATGTCTTTAAAAATAACCAAACTTTGTGATTAATTTAGCTTCACTACCCTTTGGATGTGTTTCTCAGTACTAAAAGCTAGAAGAAATTAAACTATGTTAGAACAAAAACTGCATTCTGGAGGTCATTAATTCGTAGGTTTGCCATAAGTCAGAAGCTACTTGATAGCACGTGACACAGAACAGAAATTAAGAGCAAGTTCTCTGAAGAGGCAGTAGATAAAAAGTCAAAACGTAGCCTGTTCGACAATCTCGATGGGCCATGGATTCAGATCCAACAGAGCTCTCCTTATGATTATATGACTCATAAAAAGACTCATATTTCTCCATTTGTGACTCAAGACTCCAAAATGGATCATGACTCTTTCACAGAGATTATGAGTGGAGGAGGAGGGTGAGCTGGGACAAGGTTTGTTGGCAAATTTAGGTTTGCCTCTGCATAAAGTGCAAAATGCCCATGAAGTACATACCTCATGAATGCTACATTTTCCTAAGTATTAAATAGGCAAAATAAACTCATTCACTATTAACTGATATGGTATTCCTGCATTTTATGTTGGGGATGGGGAAAGTAGTGGGTAGTTACTTTGTAAGTAGGGTTGCCGGGTGGGGTTTCCCCCAATTTTTAGGGCTTCAGCCTGCTGCCAGCCAGTAAAATATAATGAGCAGGTTTTTTGTTTTTTAGTACTAAGAAGAAGCAGTTCTCCTCCCCATCAGAGATAATTCACCTTTTAGTTGAGACACACAACTGAGGTCCTGGATGTTTAGAGCAATTAAAGATCCCCAGCTTAGGGATGCTATTAACCTTTGTATCTTAGTCAAATTACGAATTCATTATGGTTTGCCTACCTAAATATTCCTGGCAGTTTTAATTAGATTTGCTGTAACTAATCACATTCAGTCTATACTGGTATATGCTACACACATTCATAATGCCTCCCGTGTGAGTAGAACTCCTTTCTCCTCCCCCCCAATGGTTCTACTTGCATGATCAAGGCACGTACCACCAAAGCCAGCATTCTTGCACTTCAAGCCAGTCCAGTATAATTCCACTGGCTTGTAGCTCAGATCCTAGGCTGACACTCTAACCACTAAACCATGCTGGGTATTGCTTGCACAACTATTCTACTGGTTGCATGATAACAGCGAAAGCTGATGCACAGCTCTGCCTGCTGGTCTGGATAAAAGGAAGTCACTGAGGGTTTCCCTGCAGAATACACCGCTATCACAACTTTTAATATTGTGTTGCCAATGGTGACTCTCCTTAGGTTAGGAAACAAAAGTCGACAGGTACTTGCATTCAAGGGTTGGCTTTATTATAACTACAGCCCTGATTATCTGACTGCCATCTACTTGCAAAATCTGAAAATTCATCCCCCTATGATATCTCAATTATAAAGGAAATATTCCTACATTACGTTAAATAAGTGCTTACTGGCTATTGTGCATAGAGTCTAAGTAGGGGGGCTATTACACAAGGACACTCAAGTTGCAACTGACTTATGGCAACCCCAGCAAGGAACTGTCAAGGCAAGTGAGAAGCAGAGATTGTTTGCGACGAGTGCCTTTCTTTGCAGAGTCTTCCTTGGTGGAAGCCAGATGTGCAAAGCAGGCAAAGTTACAAAAGCAAAAGTGAGTGTTAAGAGCATGGGTGCCAGGGGAATGGGAGGTCCGGGGTACAGATCCGATTAACGGGTCCGAGCCATGGTGTCCATTTACTTGCAAAACCCGAAAATTCATCCCCCTATGATAATTATAAAGGAAATATTCCTACATTACGTTAAATAAGTGCTTGAGAGTCTACTAAGACTAATGAGAGCAAAAGGAGCCCTATGGAGTATGAACTGTCTACGTAACACAGTCGTCAACATCTCTTCACACTAACACCACTCTTGTGTGGCCAGGGAAGAAGACTGGGCTGTGTGCAAATTAAACAGGCGGGGCTACAGCAGTAGCTGTACTGATAAAATAAACTTTGATTCACAAGAGGGAGTCATTGGGGTCATTACCCAAGGTAGGTTTGCCATTTTCCAGGTTGAGAAATTCCTGGAGATTTGGGGGTGGAGCCTGGAAAGCCACTCTGAGCCTGCTTCAGCGGGGAGGGGAGGGTATTAATTGAACAAATATATAAATGATAAATGCAGGAAGGGTTTGGGAAGAGGAAGGACCTCAGTGGTGTATAATGCTGTAGAGTTCACCTTCCAACGCAGCCATTTCCTCTCAGGGAACTGGTCTCTGTAGTCTGGAGATCAGTTGTAATTCTGGGAGACCTCCAAGCCCACCTGGAGGTCAGACCGAGAACAGGTTTGGCCACCATCCCAGTGACGTCCCCAAATGTCCTCTCTGTATTCTTTTTCATCAGGGTCTGTTGAAGATATTTCGTCGCCCCAAGCAACTGATTAATTCCTCTGACACTGTTGCTATCCACATCTGACCCAAGGAGCCCCTGGCCTGGACTTAGATGCCAGCAGTATGTTCATCATCCCGACACCCCCAGTGGTCAGAAGTCAGCCAAATCCTTGTAGTGTGTCAACACCTTCCTCACTGTGTCACTGCAAGCAGTTGCTTGAGTGCCTTGGCTGGAGAACTGGCCCTGTACTTTATAAAGGTAATGACTGCCATTCATTCCTACAAGGAAAAGACAGGGACTATTTCTGGGGACATTGTTGCAGTGAGGGCAGAATGTCCTTCATCCATGACTCTGTGTGGGCTGGGATTCCATGGTGGAGCACCTGCAACATCCAAGGCTTTCGGAACTTGTGCTAGTGCTGAACAGTCATTAATAATAATGTCTCTAGCCTGAAGAACATTTTCTTAGTTAGCAACCACACTTTTGGTTGAATGGGCAAAAAGTTTTTGCCGTGCACACACAAAGAATGAAATCCCCTACTACATTTAGCTAGGGAAAACCTCCTTCAAACACCACAAACACACTAACTAGTGTTCCCAAATTTATATTTTAAGATGCCAGCCTTAAGTATTATGTCTTTGATGGCTTTTTAAAAAAGCCAACATATCTGATTGGTGGCATTTTAAATACATGAGGTCCCAGTATAATTAAATTATCTTGGTCTTAATTACATTCCATTGGGATTTTGTCTAATTACTATGCAACTGGAGGAAAGCCTAATTATGAGCATCGATCTGAGATCTCTGATATGTTTAATAACATCAGCACTCCAAGAATAGCTGCAAGGGGGAACGTCTCATTCAATCACATTTGTCTGTATTCTTATGTCTTTTGGTAAGGTTAACATCAAATTGCTAGCTTACCTTGTCATCTAATTTCCGGGCGCTGAAGGAAAGTTCAACATAGTCATCGTTGCCAGACAATTCTTCAGCAATTACCTAAGTGGAAAGTCACATTTAGCTTCAAGTAGAGGAAAAACACAGACACACTGAACACATGAAGCTGCCTTATACTCAGGGGTCATTTCCTGCAGGAGTGCACAGGAGCGGAGCTCCAGCAGTAAAGAGCCCAGGGGGTGGGCACATGCAACAAGCCCCACCCCCTGCTCCCATCAGCCCTTAGTCAGAGCAAGAAGCAGCCTGGTAAGTTGCAGAGCCCTCCCGCCCACCCCCAGTCCAAAACAGTCCAGGGGCGCCTTTAAGGCCAAGTTTTATTCAGGTACAAGCTCCCCCTCCTCTGTGAGGACAGATCTGCATTGCCCCCCCCCCCGATAGCTAGGAATCCAAAACAGTCCAGTGGAGCCTGAGCGGTGGGTGTTGCCTTCTGACACACTCCCGGTGATGTCAGGGTGTGTGGCATATGCAAATAAGTTATGCTAATGAGTTATGCTAATGAGCTCCTGCACCTCTTTTTCTACAAAATGACCCCTGCTTATACTGAATCACTCTTGGTCCACTGCGATCAGTATTGTCTACTCACACTGGCAGCAGCTCTCCTGTATCTCAAGCTGAGGTCTTTCCAATCACCCACTGCTTGATCCTTTCAACTGGAAATGCTGGGGATTTCCCTTGGGACATTCTACATGGCAAGCAGATGCTCTGCTACTGAGCCACAGACCCTTCCCTGAATGACATTGGCAACAGTGCTACATACAAGCTGGTGAGTAGCTTGCATTGTGAGCCCTGATGGGCTGCAAACACATAACTGCCATGTTCTGAAGAATGAATTCTACCAACATTTGTGATTCAAAGTAGCAATGTGCAACTTCAGCATTACCAGGATCTACTCTGTTTTCCGGACAGTGGTCCAGAAACAAGAAGTGTCTTTTGGCCCAAACTGACCACCTCATAGTTTAGATCTGGCATTATCGAGCAGTAAGGACTTCATGGTTATGGAGCATACTTCTTACCTAGGGACTTCATACAATAACCAAATAGAAACACAGTATCACTAATGTTAAAGGATGCACACACAACTTTGGAAACCTTTCTATTGCAGGTGAAATTGACCAAAATTCTTTTATCACACTGATTAAAACTTGGTAAGGCCTTTCAGCTGACAACTGCTAGTATTTATCTGATAGTATGTATGCTACTTAAATCAAAGAAGAAGCATGGGAGGAAAAAGTCAAACACTCCCTCTCCCAGTGTTCTTTCACCAATTTTTTATTTAAAAAAACAACACATGAGAGATCCTGATCATGGTTCTGTTGTGTGTTGTGTAAGCTTGACCGCCACTGGCATATATTTTCCTTCACACTTTGAGGGAAACCAGTTTTTAAACACAGTGTGATTTGCAAAGAGTAGAAACTTGACATTATGTTTGAATATAAATTGTTCCCCCCCCCTCCCTCTCTCTCCCTCTCTCTCTCTCTCTCTCTCTCTCTCTCTCTCTCTATATATATATTTGATTTTTATCCTGTCTTTCCTGCAAGTGGGCTCAGAGTGGGTTATAACATACAATATACCGAACAAAGAATAAAACCCTAAAAACTACTATTCCAGATTCTGACTCAGTCACAAGATGGTATTTGGAAAACTTATGGTGTCCAAAGTAGATAGAAGCATATATGGTCTGGTTCCCAGAATGGTAAAATTGTCACCCTCAGACTCAAAGGGCCACTTAAGTAGGAGGGGCCAGATTGACTGGACATCTGCAGCCTCAAACAAAGGCCTGGTGGAATAGACCCATTTTACAGACCCTGCAGAACTGTAATAAATCTTTGCTCTCCATTGGAAGCTCATTCCACTAAGCTGGGGCCAGGGCTGAGAATGCCCTAGCCCTGGTCGAAGCAAGGCAGATATGTATACACACACACACACACCAAAAAATATATATATATTCATAACTATATAATAATGATAACAGCTACTTGTTCGCATTTATTCAGAAAAATCAATTTGAAACAAAAGGAAGAAGTAGAAATGACAAGCATAAGTACAGGGCAATCCTTTCCTGGGAGTATGTCCTACTGAATAGGCCTGAGTATGATCCTGGGTTGGGTACACCTGCTTAGGTTTGCTCCCTTAATCATATACATGTCCAACTTCACTGGCAGTCTTGGTCAGGTGGAAGGGGACTTCTCCTCTCCTTCCATGCCAAGGAAGAAAGAAGAGGGCACAGTCTAGGCCAGAGGTGTCAATCTTATGGCTTGTGGGCCAGGATCAGTCTGTCCAGGGCTTTTATCTGGCCCGGAGGCCCACCCGTGCAAAGGAGGGAACAGGAAGTGTGGAGGAGGAATGGGAAGCTGCTTGGAGGAGCAAGCAGGCAGAGCCCCTCAGATTGTGGCTTCAGCTTGGTGGAATAACTGCCTCTCTAGCAGTTCATTTTCAGCATCAACCTCATCGGTAAGTTGGGGGCCGCTGCAACAGCAATCATTCCAGCCTTGGCCTCCCTTCCCTCCCTCCCTTTCCACAGCACATTGAGATGCAGCTCTTTTCTCTCCCCGCACTGGACAAGCCTTGCCTTCTTTGCAACCAGTGCCCAGCAACATCCTTCCTCACACCTCATTTCCAACCGCCCCGGCAGGGCACTGCCTGCCAGGCAAGGCCTTTGTAGTGTCTCAGCCAAGCACTGCAACAGGTAGCCACCAGAGCAAACAAAGATCTTAGCTGCTGAGTTCACTCACCCACCTATCCGCTGGGCAGTTGCCACTCTCTTTACCAGCCTGGGGAAGGGGAAGCCTTGTAGACCACCCGTGACCACCAGCCAACTGGGTTTAGTGTGTTTCACACATGACTGGAGCTTAAGGCAGCAGAGCAAAACACACGACTGGTTTGAGCTTAAGGCAGCAGAGCAAAAGCAAGCTGCTCTCCAGCCTAAAGCGGGGGTGGAGGGTGGGGGGGTTGGCACAAGGGATCCAATTGCTGATGACTAGCCCGGGAACAGAGTTGGAAGGCAATCTCTTATTATTTGACTGGGGCTTTTCTGCTTCCCTCTACATTAGGAGACTTTTTCTCACTCCAGTAATAAGGCAATTAACCTTCCCTCTTCATTCTCTCGGGAGCTGAAGTGAGGCTGGCTGACTATTTTCCAAACCAAACTCCGTCGATTCCCACAGCCGGTCTCCAGGGCCAGCCAGCACTCAGCTTCCTCCTCGTTCCCTTGAGTAGCACTGCCCTGAGCACTCTGCATGCTTGCAGGGGCTGGGCTTCCCCCCTCCCGAGCTCTAGGTTGGTAGTCTGAAGCAGCCCCCCCCCCCATCATTGAGATCAGACAATTTGGTCCTCACTTCCCTGGGGACACTTTACTTCTCTTTTAAATTATCCCCTTAATTATACACAGAAACACCTGTAGATCAATTAAACATCTGGTGGGTTTCCTCAAGTACAAAGCCCCCGCCCTTCACTCTAATGCTCCCAACACATTTCATACTTTGATGCAAAAATCCCGATAAACCAAATGTTAACATCATCCTAAACATGCATTTTCTCATTAAAAGGAACAACCACCTTTAAAAAAAAAACAAGGGGAACATGTCAATTGGCTACCCTTTGTGAGTGATGAAAGGAGGGGAGAGACAGATCTGGAAGACTCGCAGGTGTGTGAATACCTCCCCTGTTCTGTGTGTACATAGGAAGCAATTCAACCTGATCCCAGGGCTGTCAGATGGGCTTACTCCAAAGCAAGTGCAGGCAGGACTGCTGTGTGGCTTAGTGATTTGATAAAACTCACAAGGAAACCCACTAGGATTTAATGGAAGGCTGAGGACCCATGCCCATCTACCTAGGCGTAAGTGCCATTGAACTCAGTGGGGTTTGCTGCTGAGTAACGGTGATGCTGCTGTAGAAGACCACAAGACGCCTTCCAGCTGATGTTAGATACAGCACAATAGTATGCAGAGTTACTCCAATCTAAATTGGAGAAATTAGAAGGAAACGGAATATAAAATATGAGATTCATCTTGAGTCATGAGTTTAGGAGCTGAGCAGACTGGAAATCCTAGGGATTGTGTCCAGGAGGAGAGTTAAACCACGTGCATAATTTCCAAGGGGGATTTTGATGCAATAAGAGTAAGAGGTGCCAGTTATCCAAGACTGTTAAATAAAGGAAATACTGTAAAATAGTTAATGTTTTAATCATGTTTGTATTTTGAGTAAAAAAAAATTGGGTTTGCTTCTATGCTTTATAAAGTTATTTATACCCCTGGTACCTGGCATTACATTTCATGGCACACATGGCCCGGCTCAACACAGTGAAATTTATGTCAGATCTGGCCCTTGTATCAAATGAGTTTGGCACCCCTGGTCTAGACAAATTACTGCTCTAGGTTTATTGGCTAGATGTTGCCTGCAAATCTCTTGGGTATGATCATTTTCAGATTCAAGGACTACATCTAAATAAATTATAAATCCCTAAACACAAATGTTTGTTCTGTTATAATGAGTTTTGTGCCTATATTATGTTATAAAACTAGTTAACAGTGCAATCCTAAACAGAATTATGCCCAAGCATGTTGAAACATTTAGAAGGATGTAACTCCATTTACACTCCATATGCCAGATCAGAAAGAGGTGGCAAGAATACACAGAAGAACTATACAAGAAGGATCTCAATGTCCTTGACAGCCATAACGGTGTGATCGCTGACCTCGAGCCAGACATCCTAGAGTGCAAAGTCAAAGCTAGCGGAGATGACAGTATCCCAGCTGAGCTATTCAAAGTCCTAAAAGATGATGCTGTTAAAGTGCTGCACTCCATATGCCAGCAAATTTGGAAAACGCAACAGTGGCCACAGGACTGGAAAAGGTCAGTTTACATTCCAATCTCAAAGAAGGGCAATGCCAACGAATGTTCAAGCTATCACACAATTGCCCTCATTTCACACGCTAGCAAGGTCATGCTCAAGATCCTACAAGCTAGACTTCATGCAGTACGTGGATAGAGAACTGCCAGAAGTACAAGCAGGGTTTTGAAGAGTTAGAGCAATGAGAAATCAAATTGTAAACATTTGCTGGATTATGGAGAAAGCAAGGGAGTACCAGAAAAACATCTACTTCTGCTTCATTGACTACGCTAAAGCCTTTGATTGTGTGGACCACAATAAACTACGGCAAGCCCTTAAAGAGATGGGAGTACCAGACCACCTCACATGTCTCCCAAGAAACCTGTATAAGGGTCAAGAAGTGACAGTTAGAACCAGACATGGAACAACTGATTGGTTTAGCATAGGAAAGGGAGTACGGCAAGGATGTATATTGTTACCCTGCTTATTTAATTTATATGCAGAGTACATCATGTGAAATGCCGGCCTGGATGAATCACAAATTAGAATTAAGATTGCCGGGAAAAACATCAACAACCTCAGATATGCAGACAGTACCACTCTAATGGCAGAAAGTGAAGAGGACCTAAAGAGCCTCTTCCTGAGGATGAAAGAGGACAGCGCAAAAGTTGGCTTGAAACTCAACATCAAAAAAACTAAGATCATGGCATCTGGCCCCAACACTCCTTGGCAAATAGAAGGAGAAGTTGTGGAAGCAGTGACAGAATTCACATTCCTGGGATCCAAGATCACTGCAGATGGTGGCTGCAGCCATGAAATTAAAAGACGCCTGCTCCTTGGGAGGAAAGCGATGGCAAACCTAGACAGCATAATAAAAGGTAGAAACATCACCCTGCCAACAAAAGTCCACATAGTCAAAGTGATGGTATTCCCAGTAGTAATGTATGGCTGTGAGAGTTGAATTGTAAGGAAGACCAAGTGCCAAAGAATAGATTCTTTTGAATTATGGTGCTGGAGAAGACTCTTGAGAGTCCCTTGGACTGTAAGGCGATAACATCAGTCAATCCTAAAGGAAATCAACCCTGACTGTTCCCTGGAAGGCCAGATACTGAAGCTGAAGCTCAAATACTTTGGCCTCCAAAGGAGAAGGGAGCACTCACTGGAGAAGATCCTGATGCTGGGAAAGATTGAAGGTAACAGAAGGGGACGGCAAAGGATGAGATGATTAGACAGTGTTACTCATGCAACAAACATCGGTTTGTTTGAGCAAACTCCAGAGGACGGTGGAAGACAGGAGGGCCTACCGTGATGTGGTCCATGGGGTCATGAAGAGTCAGACTTGACTGTGCGACTGAACACCAACAATTCCATTTAGAATTGCACTGTAAAAAATTCCTTGAGTCATCACAGTGCAATCCTAAACAGAATTATGCTCTTGTAAATTGGTGGAAGTCAATGGATTTAGAGAGGTATAAGGATTGCACTGTAGATAATTCCTCCAGTAATCACCGACTAAAGAAAACAGCATATTACTCTTGGATGGAAACATTACCAGTAATTTGAGCCAAGACCTTACTCAAGGGTGGTTTACTGATTTTTTTTTAAAAACAACCCTGTGAAATTAACATTTAATTATTATTTTTTAATCTATTTCATTTTAAAAGTGTGGCAGGGGACCTCAAATCCAGGCTAACCATAACAGTCATCTTTCCAGGGTTGAAAAGTATGATTATCACAAAAAAGGAAGGCACTATTATGGTTTTACCTGAGACTTCACATTCTAATGAATAATTCCTACCCCTACAGGTGGGGTAGGAAACAATTCATAACCTCTCATGGAAATTTCAGAATTTTTAAACCGCAATTTAAAGGATGCAATAACAGAAGGTTCTTGTCAATGTTAATTTTATGTTAATTTCAGTAAAAAAATTAACAACAAAAGCAAAGATTGAATGTTTTTGTCCTCTGTGTTAGCACTGTCAGGTTAAGAGAAGAAGAGGAGAAGAAATTGAGTGCCAGCCAGCCATTTTTAAGCTCTGGTAAATAGGAATGGAGCTACATCCACTTCAGACCCATCCTAGAATAAATGTTTAATTCCTGGACATCTGCAGAACACATCAACTGTTAATCCAGAGTTTGGATTGGACCCTAAACCCTGCTGTATAGTGATGATGTCATCCCTGCTCTAACCTTCTTGCTGTGAATGGTGCTTTCCTGCTGCCTTCATAGTAATTTAACACAGGGTGGAGGGCAAGGATACAGCAAAGACAGCTCTGTTTATGTCAATAGGATCTTGAACCCTGGATGATGCAGCACATTTGTGATATATTTGGGAAACAGAGGGCCTTAGAAGGTCCTAAGAACACTATTTTGTTGCTTGTGCAGACTCTGCCAATCTCTAAAACATTCCCAGTAGACAATCAGTGTAGTAACAGGTATTATTGAAGTTCTGAGCCCAAAAGAATTTAGGTCTCAATATCGAAAGGAGTAGCTCCTCTCATGCATCCCCTTCCCAATGCAGGGATGTCTTTTTTCGCGGAGATTCCACCAGAGGTGGCAAGAATGAAGGCATCGTCTGTGGTGGCACCCCACCTCTTAAACCCTTTCTTAAAGAGGGTTACCTGGCCAGCTCTGTCTTGAGTCTGAGGGAATGGTAGTCTCCTATTCAAATGAGCAGTTAGTAGGGATGCCAGCCTCCAGGTGGGGCCCAGAGATCCCCTGGAACTACTGCTCATCTTCAGGCTACAGAGATCAGTTCCCCTGGGGAAAATGGCTGCTTTGGAGGGTGGACTCTATGGCATTGAACCCCACTGAGGTCCCATTTGAGGTTCCTGTAATCCCCAGGCTTCATCCCAAAATCTCCAGGAGTTTCCCAGCCTAGTTCTGGAGACCCTACCCACCTATCCCCCCTCTGGTGGTCACAGGGGGGACCTGGCAACCCTAGCAGTTAGAGAAAACTAAGGGCCACAAATGAATGCTGCTGCTGTTTATAATGGCTCCTTTGTTGCATTTTTTGGTCTTAAACTAACTGAAATTTGGGGGTTTTCATTTTATTGTAAATTTATTATTGCACAAGGAGCTTTGAGAGCCATCATTAGACCTGCTAAGCAGGTAAAACATTATGATAATTATCATCGCTATTAATTATTAGTATAAAATGGTAGTTCTTTCCTTTTTATTCACCACCGGAATGTATGCAAGAATACTGTAAAACTCTTGGAATTCCAGCATTTGATAAGAATAATGTTGCTGAGAATTAGACACTTTTTTTCTTGCAAGGCAAAAAGGGAAGGAATAATATATCAGATGGACTCACCGTTATGGACGATTTCCCTGCTGTGTTGCCATGTTTCAATAAGGACTTTGAGAGCTTTCTCTGTGAAACAATCTGCACAAAATGAAAACAAAGAACACGAGAAGACAAAGTCATTTCCAGGTTTTGCGGCGTGATTTTTCTTTATCAAAGAAATTTATGCACATAGAATACCAGATAATTAACTGAAACCGAGATAAAATAATTCCACACCACATGATATCACAATCTGTTTCCAGAAAGAGGCATCACTGACTGATCTCAAAATAGATCTCTTTTCCTGGGCAGTGCTGAGTGATCCTGCCACTTCACAAGCTAACTGTTGATGCTGCTGCTTCTAGGTAAAGTAAAAGGCTCAAACCCTAATGGGCAGGGGTCATTTCGTAGAAAAAGAGCTGGGGGAACTCATTAGCATAACTCATTAGCATATGCCACACCCCCTGACATCAGGGGCCTGGCAGTGGACCTGCAAGGCCAGCGGGAGTGGGAGGAAGCCCTGCCAAGGCCCTCCCTGGCCCCAGGCAGGCAGGGGTGGGGAGAGGCAGGGAGGAAGCAACTTACCCTCCCTCTTCTCCTGCCTCCTCCTGGCTGAATGAGGGCTGGAAGCGGGGCGGCCGGAAGCAGGGGGCGGGGCTTCGTCATGTGCCCCGCCCCCATGCACCTCACCTGGGGGAACTGCATTCCCCTGCGTTCCCCCCCGAAATGACCTCTGCTAATGGGTCTCACTTTTTGGTAAAAGCGTGTTTAACTTGGTGTAGCATTTAACAAGATGCAGTAAAAGCATCTGAACAACTGCTTACAAATGCCCTCCTGAAATGAGACTTAAAATATAAAGTGCTTAAAAGAGACTTAAAATATAAGACAGCAGTTCTAATCGGGTCTACTGAGACTCCTCTTCAATTGTATTCAATGTGTCTTCCTCCCAGGGAACTGTTCTTAGTGCAGTCCTAAGGAAAGTTATACTGCAACGTCCTAAGGAGAGTTATAGCCTTCTGGGTCCATCGAAATGGACAAACTCAGAAGCATGTAACTCTCAAAACTATGTTTTAATACAACTGAACTTACACAAATGAAATTTTATTAAACAGTAATCACTATTCTATTGTCCTATTCAGGGCGTTTTTTGAAGAAAAAGCCCAGCAGGAACTCATTAGCATAACAGGCCACACCCAAAAGCAGAAACTCATTCGCATATTAGCAGAAACCTGATAGCACAGCTCATTAGCATATTATGCCACACCCCATGCCTTCCCTTGGCTTGCCCGGGCACCCCGCGGCTGTGGGGAGCCCGGGCAAGCCCTCCCTTGAAGGGAAGGGAAGACAGTTTAAACTGCCTTCCCTTGGCTTGCCTGGGCACCCAGTGGCTGCAGGGAGCCCGGGCAAGCCAGCCCTTGGAGAGGCCGGGGGAGGCACAGGGAGGCATTTTAATGGCTTCCCCATCCTTCTAGGGGCCCCCTGGTCTGCCGGCCTCGGAGTCGCCGGGGGGGGATTTTTCACTTTTCAGGCCTTCCCTCTGTTGCCACGCATGCAGAGGTTTTGGCTGTAGTGGGCGTGGCCAGCTCTGAAGCCAGCTGGAATTCCATTCCTGTGCGTTTCTGCACAAAAATAGCCCTGGCTATTTTATATATATTCAGGCCTATCAGGAAACAGGCCCAGAACAGCCATGTGGCATCATTCTGGGACCAATCAAACAGCAAGGAGCCACACCCTAACCAGAAAATAATACACAGTCAACAGGTACAATGGGAGCAGGTTTTTCTTCGAAGTCAAGAGGCTATAAATGCTAGTTCTGAAAAGGGAACCAGGCCCATGGTACTGTTAGGGCTGGGCTTTGGGGACAAAGTTGAGGTTATCACTCCCAACAGAATCCCCAGTACCCAGGGGTCCTTTCCTGCAGGACCACACAGGAGTGGAGCTCTGGCAGTAAAGAGCCCAGGAGGCGGGCACATGCAACAAGCCCCACCCCCTGCTCCCAGCAGCCCTCAGTCAGAGCAAGAAGCAGCCAGGTAAGCTGCAGAGAAAGTCCAAAACAATCCAGTGGCACCTTTAAGACCCAGTTTTATTCAGGTACAAGCTCTCCCTCCTCTGCAAGGACAGATCTGCACGTTCTTCTCTCCCCCCCCCCGATAGCTAGCAATCCAAAACAGTCCAGTGGGGCCTGCGCGGTGGGTGTTGCCTTCTGACACACCTCCGGTGATGTCAGGGGGTGTGGCATATGCAAATAAGTTATGCTAATGAGCTCCTGCACCTCTTTTTCTATGAAATGACCCCTGCCAGTGGTTACAAGCACAGACTCTAATCTGGGAGAACCAGGTTTGAGTCCCCACTCCTCCACATGCAGCTACTAGTGTGACCTTGGGTCAGTCATAAGTTCTTCAGAGCTGTTCTCTCAAGGGCAGTTCTCAAGAGAGCTTTCTCAGCCCCTCCTACCTTACAGGGTGTGGGGAGGGGAAGGGAAAGGGATTATAAACTGCTCTGAGACTCCTTTGGGTAGTGAAGGGCGGGGTATCTCTTCCTCTCCTCCTCCTAATTGTGGAGATCAGCCAATAGGAAGAAATACATTTGACCCATACTTCAAATCACTATTTCCTTTATAACCTCAGCTTTTTCTTCCTGATGGAAGCCAGCTCTTTGGATCCAGTGCCTCTAAGATGGCTGAAAAATTGATATAACCTGTCATTCCACCAGCTGTAACAATTAACTGTCATACTTACTTCCTAGGGAAAATATGACTGACACCTATTTTCTTGTCGGGTAGCAATGCAATAAATCAAAACATGTCAAGGCTTCTATGACTGAAAAAAAGGAGCTCTGAAGAAGGAAGCTTGAAAAGCAAAGGTTTATTATCTAGAAGCACTGTCAATGCAAGACGAACCAGAAAAATCATGCTTGGTTTTTTAAAAAGGGGGATACTAAAGGGTTTTGTACAATGTGTCACACATCCATCAATCCACTACTAATAAGAAAAACTGCTGCTGCTTTCCAGGTTTGTTGTTGTTTTTGCCAAAATAATGAAAAGCTCAACAAATACACAAATTGAGTGGGCAAAAATTCTATGTACATATCTGTAAAAGCTGTAGATTGTGAACTTTGCAAATTGTTTGCTTTCAATAGGTTGCATACTTTCTAAATTCCATGCATGGAGGCACAGCTTTCCTCATTTACCTACTGCAGCCCCCAAAGCCCCTCATGTTGTTCCTTGGGAATGGGAGACTCCCAGAAGCAGCACTGTGGGGGGAGCTGGAGGGTTGCCAGATAGGGTTGCCAGTCCCCAGGTCCAGGCAGGGGATCCCCCGGTTTTGGGGGCTTCTGTCTGCCACCAGCCAGCTAGCCGGCAGGAGAAAACCCGCCCTCAAACAGCAATATCACTGTATGATGTCCTCGATGTGATGGAGTCACCAGGATGTGATGTCATCGCATCGGGGATGTCGCGCAGTGACTCTCTGGTTTTTGGGCAAAACTCTTTGTTTTGAAGCTGGTTTTACCATAGCGTTTTGCCCAAAAACCAGAGCATTGCCCCCAACGTCGCCAATGTGATCACATCACTTCCGGGTGACGGCAGCGCATTGTGTGATGTCCCCCCCCCGAATGCCCCCCAAATCCACCCGCTGGTGTGACAAGGGGACCTGGCAGACCTGTTGCTAGAGGAGGGAAGCTGGCAAGAATCATATGCCCCCTAGGGCATGTGGGTCTTTTTCTAGGGCACACAACCCCATATTCCTAGATCTTAAAGTAAAGGTAAAGGTTCCCTTGCTCGAAAGCCAGTCGAATCCGAATCTAGGGTTGCGGTGCTCATCTCCGTTTCAAAGCTGAAGAGCCAGCGCTGTCCGAAGACATTTCCGTGGTCATGTCTTACCTTGTATTTTATGTCATGATTGGGAGCATCTGTTTCTCTCTCCAGCATATGCTAGCAGAATGAAAGTTTAGGCTCCAGAGAAGATGATTTAAAAAAACAACAACTCTCTTTTCCTCTAAGAAGATCTGTGGGTCCCACCTCATCTTTTTATTCTCACAACAGCCCTGGCAGGGAGGCTAGGCTGAGAGATATGGACTGGCTTAGGGCTGAGTGTAAATCCAGGGCTGCATTCAGTGTCACAACAAACAGAGGTCTGTCCATGATGGGCGCAAACACAGCTTTTTGCCATCCTTATTCACTGGTTGTGTTCCTCCCACTTCTTCCTCCTCCTGATGTGTGACACGTAATTGAAGGCAATCCAAATTTGGCAATCAAGCTCCAGTTCACCATAAACTCTAGTACCCTTGGGTTTTGGGGGGTTTTTTTGGAGGGGAGTGAAGAGCCTTCCATTCACTCAGGACCTGGATTCAGATGTCACAACAAACGTAAGCTTGAACCAAAGCTCCTCAAACCAGGAAGACTCCAATTATTTCAAGGGACGCGGGGAGGGGAAGACCGATGGGAGCTCAGCAACACAACAAGCTGTGTTTGTGGCTCTCATAGACAAACCTTTGCTTGAAATGACATATCACAGGGCTCTTTTTGTAGATAAAGCCCAGCAGGAACTCATTAGCATAATAGGCCACACCCAACAGCAGGAACTCATTAGCATATTACGCCACACCCATGACAGCACAGCTCATTGGCATATTAGGCCACACCCCCATGTTACCAGAAGTGTGCTCATCCAGCCACACCCACCTTTTGCTTCTTATTCTGCTTACCTTGTTTGTTGTCAAAACCCAGGGCTTTTTTGGTAGCAGGAACTCCTTTGCATGTTAGGCCACACACCCCTAATGTAGCCAGTCCTAATGAGTTTCTGCTGTTGGGTGTGGCCTATTATGCCAATGAGTTCCTGCTAGGCGTGGCCAACTTGGAAGCCTGCCGGAACTCCGTTAGTTCATTCCTGCCCCAAAATAACCCTGGGAAGGATCCCTCCTCAGTCTCCCTTGTCCAAAACCAGCACTCTGACTCTTTGCTCTCACTTTAATCATGTCGTAATGTGAGCTCAGTAGAGACCTTCTGAACAAGAAACACTGGAAGAATCCTAATAGAGCTTGAGATATGGAGGATCTTGATTTACACCAGCTACATTTTCTAAAATAAAAGGGACTGCAAT